GGGCCGGCGGGCGTGGGAGGAGCTCCGAGCGGGGTCGGCTCCGCAGTTCGGCTTGTCTTGCTGAAGGACGCTGACTCCGCCCAGTTTACGTCATTGGGGCGGGGCCAGGGTGAGGGGCGGGGCGAAGCGCCAAGCCGGTGGCGGGCTCTTGCCGAGAGCAGTTCCCTTGAATCGGAATAGGGAAGTCTGCACGGTTTCCAAAAAGCTGGGGCCTCGGGCTCGCCCGTCTGCTCCGAGCCCCTGCCCCCAGACGGCCGGCCGGAGCTGCCGGTCCCCTCGAGCTTCCTCATTTTTTGTGGACGGCTCAGCAGCGGCAGGCTTCCCCTGCAGTGCCCTGCCCACATTCTCGCCGATGAAGCAAACGCCAGGGCTGGGGAGGGGCTGGGTGGGACCCAGCAGCAACCCGTCAACACGTCCAGGCTGTGGGGTGCGACTGAGGCGAGAGCCAGGGTCTGCCCTGCGGGGAGCTGAGGGCTGCATTTCAGCAGGAGAGGCGCGGTCCCGGCTCCCACTTCACAGCACAAGTGTGATACATGGTGTGACATGTGGGGGCCTGGAGAGGAGCTAATGACTAGAGAGGGACCGCAGATGCCCGCCCACACAGCAAAGCTGGTTCTATAACCAACGTGCAATTTCTCCATCAATGTCACTGTTGTTCCGTTCTCGTTAGTCACCCTGGTGGCTGTACATTTGCTGCTGCTACTGCACAGGATGTTTTGGGGACTGTTTTGGAATTTCCTTCGGGGACAGTTCACCAACCTCACAAGAAACTCAGTCATGGCTTGATCACACCTTTTCAACTCAAACCACCATTTTCCAGCTTGATCACTCACACTGCTCACCAGCCAGCTTGGCCTGGCTTTGGCCTGTTGGGAACATCACATCCACCTTCAAAAGATGCTCAGGCCCTGACCGGTTTGGCTCAGTGGAGCATTGGCCTGTGGACTGAAGGGTCCCAGGTTCGATTCCGGTCAAGGGCATGTACCTTGGTTGTGGGTACATCCCCAGTAGGGAGTGTGCAGGAGGCAGCTGATCGATGTTTCTAACTCTCTATCCCTCTCCCTTCCTCTCTGTAAAAAAATTGGGAACATCACATCCACCTTCAAAAGATGCTGTCAGGCCCTGACCGGTTTGGCTCAGTGGAGCGTTGGCCTGTGGACTGAAGGGTCCCACGTTCCATTCTGGTCAAGGGCATGTACCTTGGTTGCAGGCACATCCCCAGTAGGGGGTGTGCAGGAGGCAGCTGATCAATGTTTCTCTCTCATCGATGTTTCTAACTCTCTATCCCTCTCCCTTCCTCTCTGTAAAAAATCAATACAATAT